CATACAAATACACATAATTATATACATATATTTTTTCCCTTTCTGTGATCCTTTTCTTTATTTTTTACGGACTTTAAATAAGCCAATTATTTTTAGGGCAAGATCGGGGAATCACACTTTGTCAGAAATAATTGTAGGATGAAGAAGGTACTGTGACATTTTTTTTTTTTTGAATCATGAGCAAAAGAATTATGTTCTTGTATTTAATAATGTTGCATGTATCTTGCATTTCTTATTTTGAACGTTTCAGTAAATATGTCCTGTGCGGTGTTAAACTCTTGACATCTTTTCAATCTACAATTGCTGTGAGTTTAAGTAGCTGAAAAAGTTTATGGTAGGCAAGATCTCCTTTTATATAATGTTGGTAGAAATATTGCTATATTAATTAATTTAGGCAAATCTTTCGTATCACCAGGAAGCTTAATGCCGTAAGCCTTTTGATAAGAAAAGTTTAGGGAAAAAGGCACAATTTTGCATATTTCTAGACTTTATTTAATAAAATAATCTTTTCTACTCATATAAAGGAACTTCATAATCAAACTGGTCATAACATTAATACCTTATCAAATGTTACATTCACTTAACAAATTAGCATAAAAAAATAGCAGATGTGACATACTAATATAAAGGAACTTCATAATCAAACTGGCCATAACATTAAAACCTTATCAAATGATACATACACTTAACAAATTAGCATAAAAAAATAGTAGATGTGGCATTTTACATACATATAAGTTACATAACAGTATTTAATATGAAATATTAATTTATATGAAACATGATGATGAGAATTATTATAAAGTCATTGCTCATATCTTACATATTCTTATCTATCATGAGCTGCCAATGTATTATGACCTTTCCTATATCTAAAGCATTTAAAATATATATTCAATGAAAGTAAATGAAATGAAACCCTGGCATTTATGATGATGTGCAGCTTTGGGTTAGTAATTAAAGGAAGAAGTAGAAGTAAAAAAGAAAAAAAAAAAGTTGAAGAAAAGGGAAGAGAGAATAAAAAAAAAAGGATAAAGAAAGAGATGAAGGACAGAAAAGTAAGTCTGAAAACTCCTGCCACAATCTCCAGAATGCGAACACAATGGCCCAGAAGTTAAAAGCCACAAAAAATACACTCTTCCAGATTTCTTCCCTTACTAATTAATTTACTATAAATAACCATACCAGTAAAACTAATACTAAAATCCAATTAAGTAACACTAACCCAATGCTGCTCGAAATAGCATACCTAATCTGAGTTTATTTTATTGATTGCTTTACACAAAGATGGCTCCAGAAGTGCTTAGTCCAATACTGATAGCTTTGGTAAGACTACTAAATGACTCCTTGGTGGCTGAACACTTGTGAAGCTGTCAGTGTGGAGAGACACTGTGTTAACATTAATATATAAATATCAGTGTAAATGAATGAATATGTGTTTTTTTTCCTTTTCTTTGTTTTTGAGCACAGGTATAGATCAGACATGTTGCAGCTTTGCTCTGTGGAATCTGCCAAGTAGCATAGCTTTCGAGCTCCCTTGATCCCTAGGGATCAAGGGAGTTGACACAGACATGAGCAGAGAAGAAAAGGAATTCAACAAGGGCTGCCTCCAAATTGTCAAGTCCTTGGGCATCCAGAGAAATGCAGCCAGTCAAGAGTGCTTAACTGTTCAAAATAACTTTTTGAAAATAATAATAATCATAATTATAGAAATAATCTGAAGATGATGAACTTTAATTCAAGACAAAACTTAAAGATTTAAGATGAAAATATCTCTCCACATTTTGTGACCAAAAGTAAGTTCTTTCATCCAAATCAGCAGCAATCTATGAGAACAACTGTATAAACCAGCCAGAAAAAGTGGCATGAATAAGGCACTATAAATAGTTAAGTCTAATACTAATATATATATATACATATAAATATATATATATATATTTTAGTTTATTTTCTTTTGATTTGTAGCTTGCAATCCTATCTTTCCTCAGTAACTTCTCCCAAAAAGTGTGTAGAACTTTGCAGGTTGCCCGCACTTTGGATGGATGCAAATTTTGCCTGTGGCATCAGCTGGCTGCTCAAAAGGAATGCACAGACTCTTGGCCCCCATACTTGGACCCTTGCCTCCAGCCACTTCTTCTTGCGCTGATTCTTTCTTTATGATGTCCTCACAAGCTTCAGCTCCACAAAATGGGGCCAGCATTATGTTTTTCTCATCAAGAGCACTTGTGAATTCCTCCCAGCTGTTTACCTGAAAGATAAGTTTTTCTTGAAACAAGATCTTAAATAAAAACATCTGATCTTCATATAGATGCAGTTCATATGATTAAAAAACAGCCTGTACTGTTCTACTTACCAATTTCTTGTGCAACTCCAATTCTTCTTTTGCCTTGGACAAAAGACTGGCATGAATTTCATCCAATAAGACCTTGATTTTGTCAGCTAAGTCAGCAAGAGGTAGAGTAAGCTTCTCTCCTGTGTCCCTCCGCACAGCCACAACTTCCTTCTTGGCCAGGTCGCGAGGTCCAACGTCCACTCGCAGGGGAACTCCCTGTAACACAGATTGAGATTGAGTAAAGTTTAACATTAAATTGATTCAATTAATTAAAACAGTAAATAATTTCAGTAAAGTTCAGCATTAAACAGATTCAAAAGTTAGCCCATTGCCCATGGGGAAAATGCTGTGCTCATTTTTTATATTTTTGTGAAATGTCTCTGTACATAGATGGCTCTGCTAGTGCTTAGCCACAAAGGAGACCTTCCCTGATTTCACCTTTCCTTGAATTGGTGGGAAAACCATATTTTTTACTAGTGCTATAAATATCGATGGTGTTATTTTTATTATCAACATTATAATTACTATAATGTTATAAACATTTGTAACAACAAAATAAAATAACAAAATATTTTTGTAAACCAATGAAAAGGGTGAACGGGTGAGTCAGGCAGTACTCATAATTGGCTCACTGGTTGACTTAGTACAAGTGTAGCCCTCTATGTGTAAACACAATTAAACAAGTAAACTCACATTGGGCATCGTATGTACGTACATGACATGCCCGTTGCCAATGGGTTAAGCAGTAAACAGATTCAGTTAAGTTATACAGTAAGCAGGATAGCAATTACATCTAGTTTCACCTATTTTAGATGATATTCCAGTTTTAAGAAAGAAAAGAAAAGAAAAGAAAAGAAAAGAAAAGAAAAGAAGTAATGAATCTTGATCAGTTTTGATAAAACAAGTAAACTTTCACAATTTCTCCTTGTACAACCATACGTATGCAGAGAGAGAGAGAGAAAAAAAGGGAGGCTGTTAATAACAAAGCAAACTCTATCTATTCTAGGATTCATGGAAAGATGATACTGTATTATAAATATCCAAATATACAACCTAATGAGAAATGCTCTATATTATTGAATGAATTAGAAGGCACAATGGTTTTTGATATGAACCAGAGGAAATTTGAACCCCTCTTGCATGGGCATGATCTATCATCAATTGAAAACAGTTACTTAAATGCAATTAGACCAAAAATTAATTAACAGTGAAAATATTATGGAGCCATCAGTGAGGGTTTCAATTACATTGCAAAGGCTTAAAATTTTTCTTTGCTGGATATCAGCCTAGTAACTATAAGCTTAGTTGTTTTATATCTATCAATCTATATATATTTATATATACATTTAAAACACTTTTGCAGTTGTACAAGAAAGAAAGAAAAGAAAAGGAGGAATGAATCTTCCTCAGAGATTATCTTGACATTACATATGTAAGTTACATATATATTTTCTTGAACAATAATTTTAAAGCTTTTATGTGAATTCTAAGTAAGTGTAAATACTAAGTTATATTAAGGTATCTACATAAAAGACAGCATATATACATATTTAGAACCACAAAGGGAAGAACAAGAGACCACATGAATATGTTGAAGGCCTTTTTGCTATATAGCTTTCTTTTGTGATATAATGAATGAAAGATAAATAAAGGTGTATATATATCCACAGATGATGCTTAGAAGTAGTCTTCGAAGTACAATTTTTTTCTTGCATCATATATCCATATGAAGGCGGCAAATGTTTAAAAGTGTGTGGACTTAATTAAAATGTTGCAGCCCCAAGAGATGAAGTACATTTTTCAATATGTGTGCATTAAAACTAATATCACTTTGACCACTTACTTTCAGTTCCCAGTGATTAAACTTCCATCCAGGACTATAATTATCTCGCAGATCACATTCTGCTCGTACTGATGACTCCTTTAGGTTGTTCTCTATGGTGCTGCATCCCTCAAATAAGGAACTCTTCTGTTCGTCAGTCATCTTGGCATTAATTCCACAAGGAACAATCACCACCTGTGAAATGTCTTATTATTCAGAAAGCTATTTTCCATAATGACCTCCACACCAAAATAAAGACAATGACTTCTGATATTGTGTTTTCTTAGATAGACTATGTACACGCATCTCCAGCTCAATCCTAGCTTAACATCAAAAAATCCCGAGCAAATACCTGTACATCAGCGACTCTTGGGGGCAGAACCAGGCCCTTCTCATCTCCATGTATCATCACCATCGCACCAATGGGCCGTGTAGACAGCCCCCACGAGTTCTGGTAAACGTACGACTTCTCTAGGGTTTTGGCATCTTCAAAAGTAATCTCAAACATCTTGGAGAAATTCCGGCCCAAATGATGTGATGTGGCACCCTGAATGCCTCTTCCACTAGCAGGCACAAATGCTTCAACTGTTGTCGTGTAATCACCTCCGGCAAATTTTTCCTTTTCTGTTTTACGTCCTTTGACCACAGGAATGGCTAAGAGGTCTTCGTACACCTAGAACAGATTGCAAAAATACAAATAAATTTTGCTGTGGGGATTTTAAGTTTAAAAGTTATAAGACAAAATAATGTGTTACTTGGCTTGCAGATTTAATCTCATTTGCAAACTAGAAAAGGTTAATGATACATGTTATTCATGAGACAACCATGTCTAAAGCATATCTTGATGTATATAATACTTTAATTATCATTAGCAACCTCTTCTCTGAACATCATGATTCAGCTGAATATAACATGCACCAGAACTACTAAGACTTATCCTCATTACACTAAGAAAGGAAGAAAGAAAGAAAGAAAAGAGATTCATTACCTTTGCATAGATGTCTAAGATCTTCAAGACTTCCTCTTCTGCTTCTGCTTTTGTGGCAAACGCGGAATGTCCTTCTTGCCACAAAAATTCTCGGTTCCTGATGAAGGGCTGTGGGTGCTTAAACTCCCATCTCTGCAAATACCAATAAAATAAAATAAATGGGCATTGAGGCATTAAATAAAAGCAAAACAACATGAATTTGCATTCCCAATCTGGTAAGAGTTTACAACATACAGAAGAAATTACAAGTGGAAAAGAAGCAAACCTAAATAAATATACAAGATGTTTGATACTGTATATAAACATGTATGTATCTGCTCATACTAACCACAACATTATTCCACTGGTTCAGTTTTATAGGCAGGTCTCTGTGGGACTTGATCCATTTGGCATATGCAGGGTACATAATAGTTTCTGAAGTTGGCCTTATAGCAATAGGTTCTGCCATTTTGCTTTGACCTGAGTGTGTCACCCAAGCAACCTGGCAAAGACAAAGAAAGATTCTTAGTAATTGTGGAGAGTAAGTAAGACTAATACTGTTGTTCATTATTCAAAATCAGTTAGTGAAAGTGAACTCTACCTAAGGGATGACTGCTACAACATAAATCCTTTGGGTAAATCCATTAAAAAAGGTTGAGAAATAACAAAAATGACAGAAAAATATGAAAGCATTTTAAGAACTTATACTCAACGCACTATAATTTTGTTATACAACTACTGCTAATTACTGGATACAAAATAAGCTGAAACTACTCTAACGCATTTATATATCATTTTATTTACCTGTAATATGATTTCATTTTAATTCTCTATGTATTTTCTTTCATCTTAAACTAATCTTAAAACACTGGTGCATATGTGTTGAAAATTATATTGTGAAAATTGTATATGCCACTACTAAAAATTGCAGATCAGATGGTGCTGCTGGGTGAACAGAATTTGTTTTATACTATAGTTCCAAACTTATCATGCACTAACTCTAAACCCAGTGTGGAAGCACCAAGGTGTAATATGATGAAGGCAAAACTATAATTGTATTTCTAAATTTTCAGTTTCAGTTAACGACATATCTTATATTTTTGTGAAAAACGTTTTTTTCTATTAAAATATTTACTATTACTTATGGCATTATTACCATGAGTAATATTATCATTATCATTATAACATTATTAACTATAACAACAGTAATAAAAATTTAAAAGACTGAAAATTTAAGGATGATATATGAACTTGTGGCAACAACTATTCTTGGGGAAAAAAAGCTATTACCCAGGTCCAATAAAACCATGGTTTATAACTATCTTTTTAAAATAATAAATCATCGACTCCAATGATAAGAGGTTGCGATGGCAAAAAGAATATTAAAGTTCCTCTCACTATCATACTCTCTGCTTTAATTCAGGGGTAAAAATTCTTCCACACCTTTATCAAATTTACTCTTAACTAGCAAGGAAGGCAATCATCAGTAAAAACCAGTAAAAATCAATTAAGAGTCTCTGCTACAGACATCATATGCTGTAGTGCTTTCATTTTAGATTTAGATTTTAGGCTTATTTCGTGATTTTTCTCTGGTCATTAGTATTTCCTTTTCAATACATGTTTAAATTTCCCTTGTGTTATTCCTTCCTACTCCTCATCTCTTCCATTCTCTATCAACTTCTTACTTTTGTTTAAATAATTTATGGTTAGATCCATTGAGTGAATGACGACAAACCTTGCCTTGTGGGTAATTGTATCAGTTGAATATCGTGAATGGTGTATTGATTTGTGGTGATTAATTGTTTTGAAGATCTGCAAGGCTAGGTATGTAGGTAAGGTGCCTGGCTTATTTGGCACAGATAAAACTTATTTTTTTAGTAGCTAATACTGGGCATCACACATCAAAAAATCTAATCAGTAAAAATGGATGAATATCTATTCTCATCTACATTACAAACAAAATGATCAGTTAGATAAAATAACCAAAATACAAGCTCCAAAAATCATGGAAAGTCATAATGGAATAGTGAATTTTATAAACATATGATTTTTTTAGTAAGAGAGGAAACATAAGGCACTAGCTGTACTATAGGAAACATAACAGATATTAATCCAAGGTGATATAGTAGCTTCAACCACTGTAAGCCTCATGCAAACGAATGACTACCACATACCTATTATAAAGAATCAAAATCATCAGACTAATGAATGCTAGACTGTACTTTAGAGGTTGAATGGTAAATGGTATGAATGTGATGCAAGAGCCTAGATTTCAAAGTTGAATCGAGTTAATCACTTTACTTGTGTAAAAAATTGTACATAAAATGGCAAAGTGATAGTTTTGCAGATTTAATTAAATTGTAAATGTTGTCAAAAGTTCTTAAATAAGTTATAAACACTTTAATCCTAAGTCTGGGCTCTATTATCCTACTTTGCACATTTTGCTGTAATGGTAGTAGCTTTGCTTAGAGGGCAGTGTACCTTTTACAGTCGTAAGAAGGGAAGACTGGATTCCCTGGCCTTGAAACAGCTGAAATGTCTGCTTACAGATAGTCAGTCGCACCATTATTTGTACTTCTTCAATGGGAGGTACCTATATTTCTTCAAATCCCCCGGTGCTTCATCTTGTTGTAAAAGCAAATTATTTTAAAGATAAGAGAAAATAGGAGGAAGCAGGGATATGTGAAGAAGAGAGGTACTGTGGAGAAAGAGGAATATGAAAGAAATTAATGGAAAAGGAAGAGGAGAAGAAAGAATAAGAGGGAGTAGAATGAAAAGAAGGAAGTTCATTGTAAAACTAAATATAATTTACATAAAAGAACCTCTTAGCTGTGCATCTACCTTAAAAAGTGAACACACTTGGAGTAAAAACAACAACTAAGTAATCCTAAAAAAAAAATAATAATAATTAATAAAAAAATAATAAAAGTAAAAATAGATAAATAAAAATGAAAATGGCAATGCTTACCTCTGGTGCAAAGTCTTCAATATGAGCCTTTTCCTTTTCTAAAGCACTCTGGCTCACAAACATGGGGAAATAACAGTTCTTTGCACCCGTCTTCTTGATCTCTTTATCTAAGAATCTCTGCATTTCTTCCCAGATGGCGTAGGCCCATGGACGAAGAATATAGCAACCAGAAACATCATAATATTCAATCATCTCTCCTTTGGTAAGAACCTAAAAATAAATGCAAAAAACAGTTATTAGTCAAGTTGTATGGACAAAATGTTTCTAGTAGATCCTAACATAAACATAACTGCATGATTTTTTGTAATAATATTGACAGTAATAAAGAATTAGGTTACATGTAAGATTACAAAACATATGTCATCCATAACTAACAATCTTGGTTATAAATGAAAAATTATGAAAAAAAAAAGGACAAAGACAGTTCATACTACATTTCAACTTAGCAGACCCTCACTGGGAATAATTAATTAACATCAAGAATATCAATAGAACTAAAGATATACACATAAAAATAAATATGTATAATACATAATACAAATGTTAACCATTGCTATATAGTTCTATGGTCTGTGTGACTCCCATGTTTATGTAGCACAGTAAGATATATCAGATTCTTCAGAATTTCTACAATAGGGATATGAAGTAGATTAATTTTATTAGAAAATCTACTCATATATGAAGTAAGAATAGCAAATTTCTTAATTGGTTTCAAACTTTCATACTATTTTTACTAATTTCTTCTATACTTATTACTACCATATAAATACATAACATGTAGATTCAGGAGTAAAAACCATAGGTACTGTACCTGAGAATACCATTCAGAAAAATTTGACGACTTGGATACTTCTAACCCCAGTCTTGTCTCCTTCTTTGGTCCTTCGGTTCCATTTTTACTCTTCTCATCTCCTGGTCCAGCCTTTCCTTCCTTTGAAGCCATATTTCTACCTGAGTAGTTGTGTTCTGCTCTTCTGCAAGATAGCAATTGCTAATTTAGTATAAAGGGAGAAAATGCTTTCTTAATGATTGCAAAACTTTGTTTAATTGCAAATTCTATAGTGAAAATCAGATGGAACAATTCTTTAGAACTTATGTTATAGTCTTACTTTTTCATACAACTACTAAACATAATAATGATCATAAAAGAAATTGTTGTTTATATGACAATATGTGTGTAAGGTGGGAGAGGTGTGAATGCAAGCATACACATAATATAAAAGTTTACTTGTTTATGTATGCTATGGAATTGTTTTTGATAAATAAAACTGAAACTATCTTAATATCATTAGAAATAATTAACGTGCAGCAAAACCTAACTTTAGGGTAGAATGTGACAATATGAGGACACTGATATCAGTTACAAAATAATATTTAAAAACCGAAAACTATTGGACATCTTTAATACAATTAAAAATCATTTGAAACTCTCCTACTCTACTTCGCTCTGAACAGAGATACTGAAAGCATTATCCCAGCAAACAACATGAAGGACCTCATAACACGTGGAGAAAATACAACATATGTTTCATTCACACCCTACTATCTAATCTGCAAATCATCCCATATCCAAATATCATTATGATTGTCTCATTTTTTTTTAAAGTCTTGACCGTGAGTTTTGTTATGTTAATGAGATTTGCTGAGATATTCATATAAATATAAGCATATGCGACGAGAAATTAGTAAACCTAACTTGTGAACTCAATCACAACATATTAAATACATTAACCATAAGTACAGCATTCAACTTGTTCTACATTTCAGTTACAATGAACAAAACTAATATCCTTAACATTCTGAAAGCACAACCTTAATGAAAAGCCAGAAACACACCTTACTCGAGCGCCTGATGAACCGCCAGCTCACGACAGCGTCCAAGTGAACCTCTTGACTTCTGACTTCCCTTCTGTTTACATTTTCACCTTGATCGAATGCGTGACGGTAGATGGGTATTTCTAAAATAGATACTTTAGAGTATTTAGAGAAAGGATTACATATGTTAGTTTGTGCATGTCAATTTCATAAGATCTGCGATGAAAGTTATATGTGGTAGGATATAATAAATTAATAAAAAAGACGGTGAAATAAAACTCGGCGAGGCATTCGAACAACACTAGGTGGTGATGCAATCGTGACGTCATAACTGTCATTCTCCGAGCGAACACGTGTTCGGGCGAGTCCTACTACGGCCGCATTTACTATTAAGATGAAGGTACCAAAAAATCCTCTGGCCTGGGTAACGGTCCCATATCTCGATAAGAAGGAATTTACTGAAGATCGTATCATACATATGGTCCTCGAAACGTTAAAGGTGGAGTAGAGCTCGCTTATCTTAGCATAACATCATCAAATGTAGCACCGGGTGTTTTATTTCTCTCGAATAGGCCTACATGAAATCCAGATTCCTTCATAGTCGTTGATGCGAGTGTAGTTCCAATGTAAAGTCGTAATTTACAGTATGTGGAAAATATATTTCCTACGATTTTACTGTATAATTTTATATAAAGCACCCCCTCTCTATATACTATATATAGAGTACACACACACACACTCACACATACATGTACATATATTTTTTCATCAATTTTCACTACTCCGGCAGTAGCCAGTCCTGCTAACTCTTTTATCTGATTAAGTTGTTAGTCTCCCTAGCTCTCGTTTTCCGTAAACAGTTCCAGTCTGGATATCGGAACCTAATAGATCTTCCTTATGCCGATGGGGGTTAGTTAATGCCGTATTAAGGGGATGATTTTAGTTATTGTGGCCCAAAACCTATATAATGCACATTGTAGAGGATGGTGCATAAAAATTGTAAGGCAGCTGACATCTGATATGCTATGTTAGATATGAAAACAGAAAATATACGCATTGTCCTTTATTTAACGCACTAAATCTATATCTACAGTCTCCGTTGCTCTCGTTTTCCGTAAACAGTTCCAGTCTGGATATCTGAACCTAATAAATCTTCCTTATGCCGATGGGGGTTAGTTAATGCCGCATTAAGTGGGTTAAGCGACCCAAAACCTATATAATGCACAGTGTAGAGGATGGTACATAACAATTTGTAAGGCAGCTGACATCTGATATGCTATGTTAGATATGAAAACAGAAAAATATAAGCATTGTCCTTTATTTAACGCACTATATCTATCTATCTATGAGTTATGCTAGTTCGGAGGCTCGTTAACCCGAGGAACCTCCAGCTCCTCCACGAGCCTCCACATCTGAGGCTGCTGCGTCGTCTGAGGAACGGCGCCGCCGGGCACGCGCAGAAGGTCCACTCTCGGCGGAGGACTGGCCGCGTCCGCCTCCACGAGGCCGGCGTCCTCCTCTTCGTCGTACGAATCCTCCCACAGGAAGTGGTCGTGGACGTTGGGGGCGCGAGCGACGATCACGCGCTCGGTCTCCCTGAGGGCGAGGCAGTAGACGGCAGGCACGCTGCCGCGAAGCTGTGCCTGGATGGCCAGGCCGTCACGGGACAGGATGAGCAGGTAGCGCTGCAGAAGGTGGATGGTGGTCTCCAGACTGGAGATGCGGATCCTGAAGGTGTAGGCGGCGCCGGGACGCCTGTTCACCGTGGCCACTCGAAGTAGGTGGCGCATGTCGGCGTACTGGTCCTTGGCCTCGTCACACACCCTCCTGGCCACGTCCATCTTGGCTCTGTTCAGACGGAGGCGATGCCGCAGGTACTTTCTGTCGGGGTCCACCATTTCATCTCGCCCTTCGGCAAACGTCGTAAAGCGGGAGCCGATGAGATCACCCAGGTCCATGGTGCAGAGTGAGGTGGCCAGGGCCAGGCCGGCCATTAAGAGCCCGAGGTGGGAGTCCCGCGGTTCCCAGGTCGCGGGGCACGCAGACGCGACGGGATACAGCCCAGGCGAAAAGGGCTTCGAAATATCACGTGTGTTTAAAGAATGATGGATAGCCTATAATTTGATAACCAGCGAGTTACTGTGAAATAACCGAATTTCAAAGATTTTGAAGGAGCTATTATTATTTTTCAATGGATATATTCATGTTAGAATAATGTTTTCTCCTGGCAATAGCCGTATTCAAATCTCACTGACATAATATCATGATTAGCATTATTAATCACTATAATGTGACCATAATATCAATACCGACAAATTATCATACTTTCATATTCTTAAGTTCACATAACTAGTATTGTTTTATTATTGTCTCATTATCACTTCACGAATATAGCACATTATAATGATATAATGTCACCACGTAAGAATATAATATATTATGTAGAATCTACAGATATGGAGGTAACTTGAAAAGAAAAGAGAAAATGTTCTAATTTTCAGGTCACAGGGAACGGGGTCTGTGTGACAGGAAGTCCAAATATGTGAACACATCGGTGCTTGGTATAGTTTCATATATACATAACTACATAAATATATATACATATATATATATATATATATATATATATATATATATATATATATATATATATATATATATATATATATTATACACACAGACACACACACACACACTCACACATACATGTACATATATTTTTTCATCAATTTTCACTACTCCGGCAGTAGCCAGTCCTGCTAACTCTTTTATCTGATTAAGTTGTTAGTCTCCCTAGCTCTCGTTTTCCGTAAACAGTTCCAGTCTGGATATCGGAACCTAATAGATCTTCCTTATGCCGATGGGGGTTAGTTAATGCCGTATTAAGGGGATGATTTTAGTTATTGTGGCCCAAAACCTATATAATGCACATTGTAGAGGATGGTGCATAAAAATTGTAAGGCAGCTGACATCTGATATGCTATGTTAGATATGAAAACAGAAAATATACGCATTGCCCTTTATTTAACGCACTAAATCTATATCTACAGTCTCCGTTGCTCTCGTTTTCCGTAACAGTTCCAGTCTGGATATCTGAACCTAATAAATCTTCCTTATGCCGATGGGGGTTAGTTAATGCCGTATTAAGGGGATGATTTTAGTTATTGTGGCCCAAAACCTATATAATGCACAGTGTAGAGGATGGTACATAACAATTTGTAAGGCAGCTGACATCTGATATGCTATGTTAGATATGAAAACAGAAAATATACGCATTGTCCTTTATTTAACGCACTATATCTATCTATCTATGAGTTATGCTAGTTCGGAGGCTCGTTAACCCGAGGAACCTCCAGCTCCTCCACGAGCCTCCACATCTGAGGCTGCTGCGTCGTCTGAGGAACGGCGCCGCCGGGCACGCGCAGAAGGTCCACTCTCGGCGGAGGACTGGCCGCGTCCGCCTCCACGAGGCCGGCGTCCTCCTCTTCGTCGTACGAATCCTCCCACAGGAAGTGGTCGTGGACGTTGGGGGCGCGAGCGACGATCACGCGCTCGGTCTCCCTGAGGGCGAGGCAGTAGACGGCAGGCACGCTGCCGCGAAGCTGCGCCTGGATGGCCAGGCCGTCGCGGGACAGGATGAGCAGGTAGCGCTGCAGAAGGTGGATGGTGGTCTCCAGACTGGAGATGCGGATCCTGAAGGTGTAGGCGGCGCCGGGACGCCTGTTCACCGTGGCCACTCGAAGCAGGTGGCGCATGTCGGCGTACTGGTCCTTGGCCTCGTCACACACCCTCCTGGCCACGTCCATCTTGGCTCTGTTCAGGCGGAGGCGATGCCGCAGGTACTTTCTGTCGGGGTCCACCATTTCATCTCGCCCTTCGGCAAACGTCGTAAAGCGGGAGCCGATGAGATCACCCAGGTCCATGGTGCAGAGTGAGGTGGCCAGGGCCAGGCCGGCCATTAAGAGCCCGAGGTGGGAGTCCCGCGGTTCCCAGGTCGCGGGGCACGCAGACGCGACGGGATACAGCCCAGGCGAAAAGGGCTTCGAAATATCACGTGTGTTTAAAGAATGATGGATAGCCTATAATTTGATAACCAGCGAGTTACTGTGAAATAACCGAATTTCAAAGATTTTGAAGGAGCTATTATTATTTTTCAATGGATATATTCATGTTAGAATAATGTTTTCTCCTGGCCATAGCCGTATTCAAATCTCACTGACATGATATCATGATTAGCATTATTAATCACTATAATGTGACCATAATATCAATACCGACAAATTATCATACTTTCATATTCTTAAGTTCACATAACTAGTATTGTTTTATTATTGTCTCATTATCACTTCACGAATATAGCACATTATAATGATATAATGTCACCACTTAAGAATATAATATATTATGTAGAATTTACAGATATGGAGGTAACATGAAAAGAAAAGGGAAAATGTTCTAATTTTCAGGTCACAGGGAACGGGGTCTGTGTGACAGGAAGTCCAAATATGTGAACACATCGGTGCTTGGTATACTATATATATATATATATTATATATATATATATTATATATATATATATATGTATGTATACACACACATATATATATATATATATATATATATATATATATATATATATATATATATATATATATATATATATATATATATATATATATATATGTAAATATATATGACGGAACGATAATGATTTCTCTCGCATAAAAGCAAGTACACAAAGTCTTATCTAAATATATGTAATTAACTTGGACTTGCATTGAAACCAGTTATCTAACTGAGACAACTACATTATCTTTGACCTCACATACGCAGCGTTCCCAGTGACCTCGAAATGAACTCAGATTCAGGTAGTCTGGGTATTGTGTCCTTTTGTTGTTCATCCTGTATGTTTCAGATCAAGAACATACATGCATTCAAATAATAAATATGAAATATTTATACAGACACATATGCATATATATAAATATATACATAACTCTTGACGATTTCTAAGCGTCGCGGTTCACACACACACACACACACACACACATATATATATATATATATATATATATATATATATATATATATATATA